GTTTCCAGTCTAATTCATCCCAAAGGTGTCCTATCGGGTTGAGGTCATGCCAGTCAAGTTCCTCCACCCCAAACTTGCTCATCCATGTCTTTATGGACCTTGCTTTGTGCACTGGTGTGCAGTCATGTTGGAACTGGAAGGGGCCATCCCCAAACTCTTCTCACAAAGTTGGAAGCATGAAATGGTCCAAAATGTATGCTGACTCCTTAAGAATTCCCTTCATTGGAACTAAGGGGCCAAGCCCAACCCCTTTATAACAGCCCCACACCATAGCCCCCCCCCCCGACCAAACTTTACACTTGCTACAATGCAGTCAGGCAAGTACCGTTTTCCTGTCAACCACCAAACCCAGACACATCCATCGGATTGCCAGACAGAGAAGCGTGATTCGTCACTCCAGAAAACTCGTCTCCACTGCCATGGAAACCTATTCCATGAAGCTCTCTACTACAATGTTGTTGTGCTAATCTGAAGGCCACATGAAGTTTGGAGGTCTTTAACTACTGACTCAGCTGACAGTTAGCAACTTTTGTGCACTGTGCACTTCAACATTCGCTGACCCCGTTGACGCTGACCATGGAATATTTAGTAGAAAGGAAATTTCACAGATGGAATTATTGCGCAGTTGGCAACCTATCAAGGTACCACGCTTGAGTTCACTGAGCTCCTGAGAGCGACCCATTCTTACACAAATGTTTGTAGAAGCAGTCTGCATGCCTAGGTGCTGGATTTTTTACACCTGCGGCCATGGAGGTGATTGGAACACCTGAATCCAATGATTTGGAGGGGTGTCCCAATACTTTTAGCGATATAGTGTACACCTTTGAAATCTTTGCCTGTGTTCAACATGATGCAATGGAAATGTGGAAAAAAATGTAGATTTTATCAGGGGGTAAGGTCTTAGATTGTATTTTATTTTTATTGCAAAAAAAGTATGTAAAAGTGTACAACGGCTTTATTAAGCTGCTTCAAAAGCATATTTAAAGCAGTGTCTTGGTTTTTCAAAAGACTGAAGTCAGTAAAATTAATGAAAGTACAATTGCATACCCACACTGAGGACCACGTATGTGTGTAAATAACTCCCTTTTTGCTACATGGCCAGCTGCAGCTCTAACAAATTGCTATACCTTTTTAAATTAACTGTGAAAATTTAGCCTGGTCTGTACAATTATATATCAATACTACTTGTGTAAATGTGAACCATAGATCAAATTAATGTCATTAAAAATAAATTAGTGAAAATTATACAAATATATAAGCAAATGAATGAAATAAATAATGTTTTCCAAATTAGTCCACGTGTCAGGGATCGCGGCTCCGGAGTCCTGGATCGCGGCGCCTTCCCCCGCGCATGCGCACTGGCGGCGGATCACGTCGGGACACAGGCACTAGGTGGCGGATCATAACAGTACCTTGCGGCCATGACAGAGCCAGGAAGTGGACCGGCGTCCCTAGAGGATATTTGCCAGCACCTGGCAACTTTGACCCAGGCTTTCCAGAATTTCCACAGTCGCTGCGCCCGACTGGACTGGGACCGCATGGAGTCGTTAGCCCCCCTGACTCCCCCTGCTCAGAGTCCTCCATCTGCAGAACCTCCCGCTACCCCGGTTTCCGGAGCGGTTGCCACACCCCTAGCTCCTGAACCCCGCGTTCCCCTGCCGGAACGTTTCCGTGGTGACCGGAGCCGCTTCCGAGCCTTCCAGAACACTTGCACCCTGTATTTCGACTTGCAGCCCCGCACGTTCACCACCGAGACCATCAAGGTGGGATTTATAGTCTCTCTCCTTCAGGATGAGCCCCAGGATTGGGCTCACCGTCTGATGGAGAAGCACGACCCCCATCTTGACTCCGTGACCGGGTTCTTTCAGGCCATGGCTGTTCTGTATGACGACCCTCAGCGGGCTCTTCCGCAGAGGCTACCCTATACTCTCTACGGCAAGGCCGCCGGACAGCCGAAGAATACGCGTCCGATTTTAGGCGTTGCATGGGAGACACCAGATGGAACGATGCGGCCTTATGTCACCAGTTCCGCATCGGGCTGTCTGAGTCTCTCAAAGACGAACTAGCACGAGTAGGCCTACCTTCAGGATGACTGGCTGACGTTGTTGCCTTCCGCAGAATTCTCATACAACAACTCGAATCACTCAGCTACGGGTCAATCCCCGTTCTTTTCCAATTACGGGTATCATCCCACATTCCTCCCTGATCTGATGCCTGAAAATCCGGTACCGGCGTCTCAAGACATCTTGAACTTCTTTTCTGTCAATAACAAAACGATTCAGGAAGCCATCGCTAAAGCCCAAGAGGACAATAAGAGGGCGTTCGACAGGAAAAGGAGAGGAGAATTACTGCTTCAACCACGGGATCAGGTTTGGCTGGCAACGACCAAGCTTGAAGATGCTGTGTCCTTCAAGGAAGCTGGGACCCAAGTACATTGGGCCATTTCCGGTAAAACGAGTAGTCAACGAGGTGGCCTACGAACTCGAGCTTCCGCGGACCTTCAAGATACATCCTGTGTTCCATGTATCTCTCCTGAAGCCATCCAGACCAGATCCCTTCCCGGACCGTGAATCCAGACCTCCCGAGGCAGTCACCATAGGTGACCAGGAGGAATATGAAGTGGAGACTGTCCTCAGTTGCCAAAAGAGGGGGGCCAGACACAGTTCCTGATAAAATGGAAGGGTTATGGCCCTGAGGAGAACTCATGGGAACCTGCCCAGAACATTCACGCACCCAGGCTCATCCGGGAGTTTTTTCGTAGTCACCCGCGGTGGAGAGATCAGTGGGGCTCCCGGAGGGTGCCCATTGGGGGGGCAATGTCAGGGATCGCGGCTCCGGAGTCCTGTATCGCGGCGCCTTCCCCCGTGCATGCGCACTGGCGGCGGATCATGCCGGGACACAGGCACTAGGTCCCGGCGAGCCGCGGTTGACAGGACGCCCGCGCATGCGCAGTAGAGAGCTGCGGGCGCGCCTCAGGCGTCCAATGACAGCCGGGGGCGCGTCCTAGCCGGCCAATGACAGTGCAGGGCGCACTATTTAAAGATGCCCTGCACTGTCACAAATTTCCGCAAGGTCTTTCTGTGATCCTGAGTTCCTGCACCCGTCTAGTGACCCTGATTGACCCTGATTACGCTGCCTGCTCCTGTGATTGACCCGGATTGCCCTGACTATGCTGCCTGCTCCTGTGATTGACCCGGATTGCCCTGACTACTCTGCCTGCTCCTGTGATTGACCCGGATTGCCCTGACCATTCTATGGACTGACTTACCCTTCTGACCCTGCGTGTGACCCGACTACTCTTTGCCCGCCGATTCTGTACCCCGCTTACCCCACACGGGACCACAATCCGTTACTACCCTGCTGGGGCCGCCATCCTCTTCACATCTGGCTCTCCCGGTACCTGCATACGTCCCCGGAGGTCTCCTCAGCCACTGGTGGGCCTGCTCGGAGGTCGTGACCTGGCCCGGGACTGTTTCAAGTCCATCCCCACCATCAAGGGCCCTGGTGAAAGCACAGCCCGGGCATAGACCCCACGCTCTGAGTAGGTCTGTCAGTTGGCAGCCTGAGGCACCACCTGGCGGATCATAACACCACGTCTCTGTGTCTCTTCAATCACTCAGAGTGTGACATTTGACCAAACATCTTTAATAAAGTATGTGGTGCTACCAAATAACATGCTCCCCTTCAGTTCTCCCAGTCACTCACCAGATAACGTAGACTCTTAGGTTAGATAAGTCATATGGGCTGTATAATGGTCCTGGTTAATCTGTCACTTGGGGGTTTATTTACTAAAGCTGGAGAGTCCAAAATCAGACTCCCTTCTGCATAGAAACCAATCAGCTTCTAACCTCAGCTTGTTCACTGAAGCTTTGGCAATGAAACCTGGAAGCTGATTGGTTTCTATGCAGAAGTGATTCTGATTTTGCACTCTCCAGCTTTAGTAAATAAACCCCACAGCGTCTATATCCTATTTTCTACAGCAGATTTATCTTAAGGTGTATGTATATAAGAGTAATAAAATAAGCAGTTACATTCACATGTACATATAGAAAAACAAGCAGAATGCATACATCAGCATGAGTTTCACTGGATGGAAATTATGTCACCACAGCTGTTATCTGACATGTTTTGCCCCTCCTCCAGGTCATTTTCAAAAGCTATGCTGTTGGCAATGCATTACTTTCTATGGGTGTAGTTGGCTTGATATGATGGAATTTGACACAACCTCCATATTGCCATACCCCACACCCGCAGAGATTGTAACTGCTTATTTTATTAGATTTTATATTAAAATATGGGTCACCTTAACATCTCATACATACGTCTTGAGATAAATCTACACCGATATATAGTACCCTGCTGTGGAAAATAGGATATAGACACCAAGGAGGACCACAAGTCCTAGATGAACCAGGATTATTATACAGCACATATGACTCTTATCTAGCCTAAGAGTCTACGTTATGTGGTGAGTGACTGGGAGCACTGAAGGGGAGCACCTTTTTTACACTATTGCTTGAAGAAGCAGCTCCGGGCACTTTATTAAAGATGTATGGTCAAATGTCACACTTTGAATAATTAGAGACATGGACGAATTTGAAAACTTTATTTATTTTATGCATTTCCTTGTATATTTGTATTTTTCACTCATTTATTATTAATGATATTCATATGATCTCTGTAAAATCAAAAAATGTCAGATGGTGTAAATTGGCATTACAAGTGGCTCATTTACTCTTTTCTACCTTCTAGAACACACTGGAAGTCCCTAAACATAAAGCATTCTTACATGCAAATATTAGGTCTGCAGTTGGCCCCACCAATGACTGGTGTCTGTTAGTCATATTGGTGGACCAATAGAGATTTAGAGAGGCTCTACAGGGTGGCGGTAGGCCACTACTTCTGAAGCAAAGTTATAATTGCATATTAGAGCATCCCAGATTTTGGAGTTCTTGTGGTGCTCATGAAGACTACACCAGTATTCAGTTTTGGGAAACACATTATGTAGTTTTCTTCAAAAGTGAAGACAGATTAGCAGGGATTCCAATCCATTCTGGGAGATACGATGTTTCATACTTGAAAAATCTAAAGTAAGGAGAATTTGGTAACAAATAATTTGAAAGGTAAACTGTTTCACCTCTCACAATATAAGCAACCCAAATCCCAAAAGTCCCAATGGTTATTATTGAGTGGTTACAGTGTGTTAATAGTGCAAAATCTCGAGAAGGAAAGGCCTCATTCCCATCTCCAGCTAAGTGAACATCTCCCAATGAGTTATTAATATTCTCTTTACACCAATCCATCCCATTACTGGTCACAATAAAAAGTGGGTTTTCATACTTATTTCTGAAGTAATCCATCGCCTTTTGCAAATATCCCTTGTCTGCTAAAACTCCTTTCCATCTCTTGGGCATAATTGCAACATAGTCCCCTCTACGGACATGGACCCCAACAAATGTAACATTTTCCCTTTCTCCTTTGACTTTAGAAAGATAGGTGTTAGCTTCTTCTTTAACAAAGTCATGGAAAGTAAATTCACGATGTATCTCCTCCCAGATATGGTGATGAAAGGTCCATGAACATGGCACTCCAACCAGTTTGACATACTGACCTGAAATGTTCTTGTACTCTGGACACATCCAGTTCTTGATTGGATAATTTCTCCATTTGATACGATTATATACTTCTTCAGAAATCATAGGCAAATTAATCTTGAATAACTTGGACAAGGTTTCATGCATTCTAGGAGTGATATAGGCTGGATGTCCATTCAGTTTGGCAAGGGAGTATAGAGTTGCATATTGTCCTATCTGATTGCCAAATCGTCCCACTGGTTTCACAGTCCAAATTCGGTTTGAAGGATTGCTGGAGAGTTTTGAAAACTGATTTTTAACTAGGCTTATGTCAGGTATTATTTCTTTAATATTTGATTTTCTGACAGAGAACAATGATGAAGATCTACTACTGATCTTGTAGGAATAGTACCAATAAGACACATTCATAATGGTGAGTAGGAAAGCGAGCATGTTGCTTGTCCAAACTGACAGTTGCTTCATCTTCTTTTTTAAGTTCCAGTACTGTAAATAAAAGGAAAAATTGGCAAATTAAGTTTTTTTACCTAAAGTGGACAAAGATCACAAGAACCCTTTACAAAAGTAGTTTAAGTGATCCATTGACAACAGCAAAATATCTCACTTATTGTTAGAATCAACCTATTTTACAGAGACCAACTAAAAATGTAAAATCAAGTTCACTAAAACTATGGAATGTATAAAAACACTGTTTCAATAAACTAGAGCAAAGTTTAATAAACTGGTTATCTCCTGGTATGGACAAACATTTTCTGGTTTTATAGCTATAAACTGTTCTTACATTCTCTAGCATGCTAGGATAAGGTATGACTAAAGCAACTGGCCATCCCTAACTCATTACTCCCTTGCCCCCTTTCCAGCTGTTTTCTTTGTTTTCTGATCCTTCTCTCCCTTGTTTCTGGAAGTGCCTTCAGGTTTCTTCATAGGTGAGTTGGCAAAAAGCCTAAAAATTGCCCAAAATTGTATACAGGCCGGCAGGTGGATCAAGCCTGCCATTTAGTTACACAAAGTCATGGGTTTTCATTGTGCAACATTACAACCTTTAGCCGATGGCGTCCTAACAAGTAATGACATCATTGGTTGATAAGGAGGATTTTGGGCACCTTGAACAACATCCTGGTTTACCTGGAGGGTCACATTAGTTGAGTGAGGGAGAGAAACTGAGGGAGAAGAGAAATATTGGAATACTAGTCAGTACCAGTGTGCAAAGGAAAGGCGTATTTGATGAGGATGAATAAATCATCTTTAACGTTAGGACACGTGTGGATGTTGCTACGTTATATACAACCATTGGTTCAGTTTTTTACATTTTAGAATGGGGCACCTTGGGGTGCATAACCTTTTTCAGTGTCGGCACCTTTTAAATTTGAGTACCACTATTCTAGAGCATTTACCTGCAATGAAGGTCACCTTCACTGCTTTATGAATACACTTAAATTTATTATACTAGTATAGTTAAACCATTTAAACCTTGTTATTTGTAAAATTTATCTCACATACCCAGTTGAACCATTTACATTTATTGAATGTTTTACTGCTGAACCAACCACCAAACAAAAACAAACCGTTATTACCAGGAGTTTGTCTTCAGTGTTCATCATAGACAGGGTTTCCAAACCTCCAAAATCTAGTATTAACCCTTTCACTGCCAGATCCATATGTTGTACAGCACTGCCTCCAGCAGGCCAGGTCATTATGGTGTATGGAACTATATATTCGTCCTCTGCTATAAGCTCATGGTCATTTCAGTGACCATGAATTTATAGCATAAATGTTCAGCAGACTCTGCTGAATAAAACAATAGCTCTGACTAGCGGCTAACAAGCAGCTGATCAGAGCTATTCACCCAAAATCCCCCCCCCCCCCCCCCCACCGCCGATACTGCTGCCTCTCTACCTGTCACCTGCTGCTTCCTCCCTTTCTGCATTGCCTAAAATGCCTACACTCCCTACCCCTCACTATCCCCTGCCTCCACCAGCGATCCCCCCCAGCACCAATTTTCACCCCCCCCCCAGCATCAGCCCCCACTGCCATCACGGATCTCTGTGGATTCCATGCAATTGCCAGCTTCCCTGAACCCCTGATGTCTCTTCAAAGCCCCCCCACCCCCCCACCACACAAAAAATATAAAAAAAAACAAACAAAAATTTTAAAAAATAGTAAAATTTTAAAAACCTAGTAAGGGTAGATATAGACATACGTCCAAATCTCCCTTGCCATTGAAGCCCAATCCACATTTGGATCACGCTCCAGAGGCTACAAGCAGAAGGTGAGGGAGCAATTAGACGCTCCTTACCACCTATTTTGACTACCTTTTTGCCGAAAAATGCGTTGCAACCATGTGCATTGCACGCAGTTATAGGTCCTTTTGTGGAACTTCCCTATTGACTTAAATGTGTATTGTTTGGAAGGTGACATCACTACAAGTTGGGTCATCTTTGCTGCAGGTGCAAAGCATGTAAACACCCCCCCTCTGCTGCCTATTGCAGCTTATGGGGGTTGGTTGGCGGGTGGTAGAAACGCAGCCTAATTGTGCATGTTTGTTGTCCCCCAACCGCAAATGTAAACAAGGCCTAAGGTGTCATTCAGTCAGGTCATAGTACAGTGAGGCCGTGTTTAGCTGCACAGGGATGCAATTGGGACACAGCAGCTGCATGGGAATGCACAGGTGTTCTATGAATTCCATTCATGTCATTTGCGACACAGCAGCTGCATGGACATTGTTCCCAACTTGTGGGTGTATGTCCCTGAACTCACATTGTCTGCTTTGGGGGCCATGCACCTACACCCACACAAATGTCAGATCTGTTCTTGCAGCCACTGCATCCCAATTGACATGAAAGGAACTACCTGCACAGGGATGCGCAGAACACCTGTGCATTCCTGTGTGGGTAAACACAGCTCTCCATGGGCATACACTTTTGTACACCCCGTGTGAACGAGGCCTTAGGATTTTAGCAGGAATTTTGTATGTTACAGTATGTTGTGTTCATCTGTGCAAATAGGGATTTTAGTGTTTTTTAGAGAAATTTGATTGTTTAGTTTTTCAGTTTTCACTGTTTTGCAAAAAGGCGCAATTTAAAATGTGCAAATATTTGTTATTTATTAACTCAATAGAGGTTAAGCTTTTATACTTAGAAGGAATTTAGCAGGAATTTTGTAAAATTTGCTGTGTTTGTAGACGCTAATAATGATTTTAGTGTATTTTTAGCAAATATATTGTTTTGATAAACATTTGTGCGAATATTGCGGGGTCTTAAAAATCAGTAGCACATTCTTTTTTTATTCTACTGGTCATGTGCTTTGAGAAAATATATGGTTTGGTGGGGTCTTTTACAAATTCTGAATGCTGTAAAGGAGAAATGAAAACCTGATTTATAGAGAAATTTGGCTATTTACAATTTTGCTTACATTTGATTTTCACCATTTCACAAAAAGGCGCAATTTAAAATGTACAAATATTTGTTATTTATTAACTCAATACAGGTTAAGATTTTATATTCAGTTGGAATTTATCAGACATTATGTAAAATTTGTGGTGTTTTTTTTATCTGCTAATAATGATTTTAGTGTATTTTTAATGAAAACATTGTTTTGATAAACAATTGTGCAAATATCACCTTCAAAATCAGTAGCACCTTCTTTATGTTCTGCTGGTCATGTGCTTTCAGAAAATATATTGTTTTGGGGTCTTTTACAAACTCTAGAAGCTGTAAAGGAAAAATAAAAATGCATGAGAAAAATTGCAAAAATGGTCTGGCCATCTGAGTTTAAAAGTGGATAGTAGGACCTGGCAGCAAAAGGGTTAAAGTGATTTTGGGAAACATTGAGGCAGAGAAAATACATTTATTGGAGGAATATTTGTTTCTAGAAAACGGATTGTCTATTGGGTATGTTTTATTAATCTGGTGTATACAACAGCAGAAAACAAAGTTGGGAAATCTAACAAGGCTAGCAGTAAAAATCTCTAGTAGGTGTAAATGGTTGTACTAAGTAGTGTATGTCAGGTAAACAGAAACAGCATAAAAGTTACATATAATGGTTTAAACATTTGGATTGTAATTATAAAGTGGTGAATGTGACATTTATCAAACATTTATTGCAGGTAAGTCCTCCAGGTACATTAGTTTTAACCACTTTCCAACTGCGCTATAGCCGAAAGACGGCTAAAGCGCAGTTGCCTAGTTCTGGGAGGGCGTCCATGGACATCCTCCCAGAACGCACGCCTGGGGCTGTTGTTGATCGTTGTGTCCTACGCACACAGCTGATCACGTGATAAGGTAAAAAGTCCAATCACAGCGGCCTTTTACCACGTGATCAGCTGTGTCCAAAGACACAGCAGATCATAATGTAAATACAGTTGCTGGTTATCGACTGCACTTTCCTCACACTGTCACAGTGTGAGGAAAGTACTGCCAATAACCGGCAAATGTGACAGGGGAGATCTGCACTAATAATTGGGGCACTGATGATCAGTGCCGTGATTATCAGTGCAGCAAATCAGTACCACCCAGCAGCGCCGCTGGTCAGTGCCTCCAGTTGGTGTTATCAGTCAGTGCCGTCAATCAGTGCCCATCATTGCTTCATATCAGTGCATCATCAGTGCCTCCTCATCAATGCCCACCAGTGCTGCCTCAACAGTGCTACTTATCAGTGCCACCTCAGCAATGCCCATCAGTACTGCCTATCAGTGCAGCCTCATCAATGCACATGAGTGAAGGAAAAAAAATTACCTGTTTGCAAAATTTTATAATAGAAACAAAGAAAACTTTTTTTTTTTTACATTTACAGTGCAAAAAGTAAAAACTCCAGTGGCGATTAAATACCACCAAAAGAAAGCTCTATTTGTGTGAAAAAAATAAAAATGTAATATGGGTACAATGTTGCATGACTGCGCAATTGTCATTCAAAGTGCAACAGCGCTGAAAGCTGAGAATTGGCCTGGGCAGTAAGGGGGGGGGGGGGAAGCGCCCAGTAGGCAAGTGGTTAAATGATGGTGATATCTTGTTTACAGGAGTGGTAAATAGATGCTATGCAATTATGTACAAAATAGGATCAAGTAATGCTCATTATCAATATGCAAATATAAAGTGAGAGGCTAGAAAATGCACCAGGGGGCTGATTTATAAAGCAGAGAATGCAATATTCACCAAACACTGGAGAAATGTTTTGTGAATGTCACATTCACTGCCCAGAGTGTACTTTGCTTAACTGCACTGTATAAACAATTGTCAAAAGTAAACACCTCTGTCTGTGGTGGTCACTAGTGCATGTATCTAATAATATCATACCATGCATAAAAATATCATATACCTACCTTTATCCTGCTAATGGTGGGCAGCGCCTTCTTTACACCTTGAACACTACTGATCTGCTATCACACAGCCTCTCAGGAAGATCTCTGCCAGGAC